GAATATCATAACATAAAGACAAAGACAGGTTATGTAGTCTATATAAATTTCACCACTTCATGACAGCTACTAGCATTTCCAAATCAGAAGTAGTGGATGGTTAATTGAGAGGACTGTCCTTGTCAGTAGTCATGTATAGATTTGAAGCTGTTACTTCCCTTACTTACTTTTTCCCTACTTACCAAATGTATTTAAGTTAGATACTTTCCAGATGATCCCTTTGAATCTAAAATCTATTATTCCTTGTTTCTTATTGCAATACTATTTTGAAATAAATTTCTTAGCAGTGAGGGCAAGGACTGTTAAGACTCACCTTGAGCCAGGTACCTCTATTCTGAGAAGGATGCTCAAGAGTCTTATCTCCATCACCTGTTTTACTATACTAATGTCTGCTAGGAGTTTATCTAAAACATTTAACTAAGTTGTGCAAGTGTGTATGCCATTGTACTTGTGTACACAGTCAGCTGCAGGTGCCATTCACAGGAGCTATTCACCTTGTTTTTTGAGGTAGGGTCTCTTCACTGGGATCTGGGGCTCACTGATTTGGCTAGGCTGGCTGTCCAGCACGCCTCCAGAAACCCTCTCTGTGCCTTCATAGCACCAGCACACCAGCTTTTATGTGGGTCCCTAGGGATTGAACTCAAGACCTCACACCTGCACAAGCACTTTAGTGACTGAGCTATTTCCCCAGCCCCTCTTTACAGCAGATGAAAACTAATTCTCCCCCCTTTACTCAGCCCTGGATATAAGCCATTTTTAAACATCATTAAGCCACAACTGCAGAAGCTCAGTGAAATGAAAGAGCAAGTCCAGCCTGACACCTTCCAGCCAGTAACAATGGGTAAGACTCCTGAACAGACCAGCCCCAGAGCAGAGGAGAGCAGGGGCTCTTCCAGCCGTGCAAGCATCTCTCAGAGTGAGACTGGGAGTAACAGTGTGGTTAGCCGGAAAGAAGAGGACACAACACAAGCAGATGAGGAGGAGCCATTTCAGGACGGAGCTTATGACTGTTCTGTGTCCTGACAACAGCAAGTAACATCACAAGAGGCAGTATTAATCAAGCAGCGTGCAACTGAGCACAGAGTGACCTGGCTGAATGATTTCACAGGTAAAAGAACAAGGGTCAAAAACTCTTCCATAAAGTAAAGTATTATTATATCTTAATGAACTCTTCCTCTCAATCTCTTGGACTCCATAAAATATGTGCTATCAGAGCATCTTTCATAAGAAAAATGTAAGCTGTACTAGAAAGTATTGAGCATAATATAGATGTACATGTAGAATATTTTGGTTTTATTCACAACAGATTGGTAGTTGTTAATGAATAGGGATTATTTTGCCCCAGGTTAGCTTTTCACTACTTATAGCTTATATATTTTCTGGTTCAGTGTATGTCTAGGCTGGTTTTTTTTTTTTTTTTTGGTGGGGTGGGTTGTTTTTAACTTTCTTTTAAATAAATGCTAAGGTGCTTGCTGTAGCTCATCAGGTACCTGAGCTACTTGTTTGCTTCCTTGAATAGAGTCATGGACTCCAGCTGGTCCTCTGAGGAGACGCTACCCTTGCACAGTATGATTCAGTGGACAGGGATCCTTTGGATTTAGTACTCTGTTCTGTAGCAGTCCCGAACTGATGGAAGCTATACCTGTGAGTTAATGTGCCTGGTTGAGTAAGCTTAATTCCTACTAGATCAGTGTGGACAGAGGGTGAGGGTTTCTTGTCAATTATGCTGACACCACTAAATTTTTGTATTAAAGAACTGTATCTTTTTGTGAATATTCTTATGTAAATAGATGCAAAGGCATTGTCCATATTTTTAAGGCATGTATTATATACTCTGTAAGGTTTTATGCTGGATTCTGCATAACTATTCTCACTCTTGGAATAAAGACAAGATTTGTTCTTCTTTCCAAAATGAGAGGTCTTCATAGAGACAGGATTCTTGGCTCAGCTGTAAAGTAGCGGTAATCCCACTGATCATGAAGTGGAAGAGGTTTTGTGCAAATTAATGTAGTTTCTTATTTATTGCTTTTGTAAACTGAATAAAAATGGGCTTTTATGTAAATAGACTGTGGGGATCCTATATTATATCAGCTACTAAAAATTGGTTTGTAAATTCTTCATTGTAAAAGTTGAAAAATATTTTATGTATTTCTAGACATGACTTAAATTTTAGTTTTCATACATTATGGAAGCAGAACTACATATTCAGTTGCTTCAAACTAAATACATACCCACCATATGTAATTCTAATTATTAATAACAGTATTAATTTAGATAGCTTATTTGTACTGTGCAATTTGAACATGGAATGCCACGTTATTTTTTATGAAATATTGTTTATTTTTATAACACAATGTATTTGATGTGGACCAAATTCGTACCACTATGTAAAACAGCCTCTTATAGTGCAGATATAGCTTAGGAATAAAATTCAGCCCTCTGTTCTACTTTTTAAAGAGATATATTTAGTCCTCTTAGGCAACATTCTTTAGAGGGAATCTCAAAATTATTTTGAAATTACTTCGAATTTCACCAACTATTTAAAATTATTGGATTTGGTAATTTACTGTTATTTCCTTTCTACATTAGAAGTGCAATAATTTCACATAATAAAACTCCTGAATGGGTGAAATATGTGACTCTTGTTACCTGGTCCTTCTGGTGCTACTTTATTTAAATCGTCTCAAGCCACCACCTTGTTCTGAATTTTAAAATACAGAATAAAGTTTCCTACGTAAGTACATGCAGCGCAGCAAAAATAAATAAGTAAATAAATAATAAAATTAAAAAAAAACAACCCTCAGCTGAAATGTCTTCTGTCCCACTCCACCAGGGAGAAGAGCTAGCATTTCTTTTGTATTTCTAGTGTGACCAGAAATTTTATTTAGTTAATAGAAACAATTTACTGTCATAAGTATCCGTGGTCTCTTCAGATGTCTTAAATGGCTGCTGCTGAGTTAAACTCACCTTTTCTGGTGGTGGTGGAGCAGTGTTAAAGATGAGCCTAGGCCCCTAACCAAATGCTGCAGTAGTAAGTCACATCCCAACCCCCCTACCTTTTGAGGCAGAGCCCTGCCCAAGCTGCACACCAGTTTGAAACTTCTCGGCTGCTCCAGCTGCTAGGATTTTAGAGTTGTGTGCTGCTGTGCCCACTCATCTCACCACCTCACAGTCTGAAAGGCAGGGTCTGGGTTAGTTACTAGTCCTCCTGTGGCCCAGACTGGGGGTGACTCTACAAGAAAATAGAGTCTAACTCGTAGAACTAGGAAACACCCTGGCAAGAAATTTGGCAAGCTTGAGAAAATTATTCTTTGGTTATATACATTAAAAATATTTAAAAATTTTTGTTTTGCTGTATTGTTTGGGTCAAAATATATCAACTGTATAAGCCATATATTTAATGAACTTAAATATTCAGCATAAATATTTGAAAGTTAATATATATGGTTAAATTTCTTGCTGACACCAAAACAAATCATTTGGAGATAAAAACAACCTTTGCTTGTAATTAAAGTTGCTGCTGCTTCTGTAATGTGTAGTCCCCCACTCCCTGTGGTAAAGGGTAATAAAACTATTATACGAGCTTTTGTTTCCTTATCTCAGGTTAACAGCAAAAAGGGTATTAAATGCCACAAAAAATAAATTTTACTTTACAGTGTCACCACGTATCTCTCCTGAATGAAATACAGACAAATGTATTTAAAATATTTATATGTAGATACACAGTGGGAATATCCAAATGACTGATGATAGAATATTGAACTATTCATAACATTGGTGTACAAGTTCAAATATAGTGAACACCTTGTGATCACCAAACCAACAGAAGTGTACAGGAAACTAGGTATCATCTCTGATAGGTAAATTGAAAATGATATCATGGTTTCCCATGTCCCTTAAATATGCTTTGTGAATTCCCTTATTTCAGACATTTCATAAACAGAATTATTTAGTATGTGGGTATTTATCACCTTGGCGTTATGTTTTCAAAATTCTTTGTATCTGTTTACTTTTTTTAAAGCTGAATAAAGCTGTTGTGCGGATATGTTTACTATCCATTTAAAGGTTATAGTTTGGGTTTTCAACTTTAGATTGTAACACTATAAACATTCATAGTAATTCTCCCTTACCCTGCTTTGCCTTCAACTGAGGTCCAAAAAGAACAAAATCTAAAATACAGACCTAAACAGTTTCTAACATCACACTGTTATACCTATTTCTTATTGTACTGAACTCATAACTTTTATCATGTGTAGCTGGGGCTTAACATCTTCCTCAGGGGGGTGGGGTTAGAAAGCGCAGCATCACAGGGAGTCTGGTCAAAGGGATACAGCAGACTTGTTTATTTAGCAATGGAAAAAACCTTGTACGCCCTCCAAGTACCCAGACCTTTTGACCTGTTGACACTGTATGGTTGCCCTTCATTGGCTAGGCACGATCAGGACCTCTGAAAGTCCCAAGCAGACTCCAGGTTGGCTCCTCTTGGTCTGTAGGCCTTAACTTCCTACAATCATGGATGTGTATATAGGAGAAAAGAACGATGTCTCATGTGTCTATGGTTTCAGGAACCCTCTAAGGTTCTTGGACCATATCCCCATAGATAGGGAAGAGGATTGGGGGAACCAAGCTCTTCTGTATGGATATGTTTTCAGTTCTCTGTAGAAGTGAAATTTCTGGATAATGTAGTCACTATGTCCTTGAGCAAATAAAGGCTCCAGCTTCTGTTAACTAAATTTATCTTAGTCAAAAGTTTTTCAAGATCTGCGTGAAAATGGTTATGTGTATGGTTATTAGATATTTGGCTACCTTTGAAACCAAATGGAAAGGTCATTTTTATCTTTGGCTTGCCGGTGATTTTATATATTTTCAGACACAAGACTAGAAAAATAAGATAGCCTTAAATGTGGAGATAGAATAAAAGCAGTTTGTTTTTTTTTTTGGTTTTTTTTTTTTTTTTTTTTTTTTGGTTTTTCAAGACAGGGTTTCTCTGTGGTTTTGGAGCCTGTCCTGGAACTAGCTCTTGTAGACCAGGCTGGTCTCGAACTCACAGAGATCCGCCTGCCTCTGCCTCCCAAGTGCTGGGATTAAAGGCGTGCGCCACCACCGCCCGGCTTTACCTAAAAGCAGTTTTAAAAGATCCATTTTTTCCAACCAGTATGTTAAAAAGTTTATTTCAGTAACATTGTAAGGCAACAGTTAACCCTCAACAATTCAGCAAAGAAGTGAAAAGAGATGGACCAGACACATTCTTCCAGTAGCTTCCTGAGTTACATAGACTCTTGTGGTCCAACCTTCTTCATGGTAAAACCTTGGGGGAATCCTAGACATTTAATGCAGCTGCTAAACTGGAAACACTTCTTAGAACAATCATTCTTAAATACTGAGAACTGTGAAGTCACAATTCTTTATACTCCTCCCTCTGTGCTGCTTATATTTACACTCATTAGGAAAATGCATTACTTAGACTTTAAAAAATATCTTTTTAGAAGTGAATTACTCAAATGATCAGATAATTTTTAAAAGGGGGAGTTACTGATAACTACAGAGTGTGCTTATTAAAAGCCATGGATACTGTATGTAAATACTTGACCATCTCTGGCCTTTAAGCATGCCCTGAAACTTAGCATCTTGTTACTGGGTATAATACCAAGTTTCATAATGTTAAAGAAAATCAAAACTGTTTGCATAGAGATATAACCCAAAGGCAAAAAAGGAAAACCATGATTATGCCAAAAAGGACAATGGCACCCTGCCAACAGGAAAGAAATACAAGAACACCTTGTTTTTATATGCTTCCTCGGCGTGTCTTCCGCCCCTCCCTGTAATTTCTAGTAATCAGTTTCAGTTAAACCAGGAACAGAACAGAAGCCTGTATTTTGAAATCCATTAAGCTATTAGTACTATTACTTATTTCAATCAGCTGTGGTTCTGCAAATCTTAAGTACTACCTGACAGATAATACATCCATAGCAGGAGCAAGACACTTAAAGCAGCACTGATATGATTTCTCTAAGTTCAGCAAAAACAGTGGCTCCCACAGTCCAGTGTGAATACATGTGACAGTCAGCACATTACCATTCAGCTCTAGCTGCAGCCCTCATATCTGCATGGACCTAGACAGTTTTTAAGGACTTAGAGATTAAGCAGGCATACAAGGAACATGATTAGAAACTGACATATCACACAAGCAACTGTAAGAAAGTTATCTCCTGCAGTACACACTTAACTATTCTTGCTGGAATTGAGATGGTTCTGAGGGACACCCTTCTGTTCCTAAACAAGTATATTTTGTTTTGTTTTGCTTTACTAAAGCTTTTCTTTCAATTATATTTTGGGCCATGTTTGTTGACTAACTCAAATTTGTCTTTTTACACTTGTTAATGTAAAAAAGAAACTAGCAAATTGTAGTGTTCATCTCATCAACTCTGTCACCGCTGAAACCTAGAGAAGCCACAAGAGGCACTGCTATGACATACCTTACAAGCTACATCCCTGTCTTCAAAATAAAAAGTACCTTTAAACCTTATTGCTGCTTTTCTGCGGGATCTCAACACCAACAGATACAGGTATAGTAGTCTCATTCCTGTGTAAACCACAACCTCAGCCAGTCTCACTAACAACAAGTTATAAAAACTTAGTCACTTGCTAGAAAACAGAAAACCCAATGTAGCAATAAAATTATGTTCTAAAAGATTAACCTTGTATAACAGAGGATGCCTATAAAACAAAGAGAATAAATATTACATAGAATACCCCACCCTCTTCCTCTTTGACCTCAGAATAGCCATGATGGCAACTCAGTGCTCTGGGGAAGAAGTTTGGGTCTTATTTGCAAATATAACCCAGGAGCTGTGAGAAGGAAATGTAGCTGAAAGATGTTCTCTTCCTAAATGAAAGGAATATGTCTGAGAAGAAAGTAGACAATGAATGCTACCTCAGGAAAATGATCCACAAGGTGGCTTCCAGGGCTCAAACTTCAGACACTAAATCACCCTAATGGCTGCCTGAAGAAATGGAGCTTGTGGGGCTTCCTTCTTCATGACAGTCAATTTCCTGTGGCCTGCAGTTTAGGCAAGGAGAGCCACTATCCCAGTGAGTGGTAGCTTCCCCACCATCCGGCTGATAACAATGGACTTACCTACCTCAACAGTAGTCTAACGGTGTACATCTTTCTTGTTCCTCAGAGGAAAGCTACTCAGGTGGTATGTTGTGAGTCCTTACAGTCATAGAAATGACATGTATGAATGGCAGTATCCACGTGTGCTTAAGTGCCAGAAAACTGGAATTTCAAGTGACAAAAGGCCAGGCATCACTATCCCAAAGTTTAACCCATATGGTACATGGCCAGGAAGAGTGATAACCCAAAAGCTCTTTGAACATACGCTCATTAAAATTCAGTGACAAATATCCATGTGACATGGGAGAGTGTCCCATGGAATGTCCAAGGGACACGTATTCAAAGTCCATCGCACGATTAGAACACAAAGAGACTGTAGGTACAAACCCACGCAGAGGGAAACACCCAATCGGGGAATTTCTCCTTCAGAGCATCGAGCTGAGAAGATCTCTTGTCTTCCCCTGATAGATAGTGGGCTGCAATGGCCACCGTGACCATTCCTTCAGGCTGTTCTTCTGACGCCTGCTGGAGAAAACCAGTTAGTTCACTAAAGCCAACACACTGAACTCCAAGGTGGCTGACTGCTTATATGGCAGCCTGGGAAATTCTCACCTGTACTTCTATCCAGAACTGCCAGGCAGAGGCCTGGAGTCCATGGGAGTAAAACACAAAGTAGTCCCCTCCTCTGCTTGTGACTGGAGTGCCGTTGCCAAGAGACCACTGAGAGAGTGTTGATCCTTTATGGGTTCGAACATAGAAAGACATATGGCTTGGTCCTGTAAGAGGAACATTCCCATCAGTCAGCAGTGACAAGCAATATAGTTAACACCCAAACCATACTGTCATGGTTACTCTGTGCTGTGACTTTAGGTGGACTCTCCACAAGACAGGAGGTTGACCAGCTTGGACGTCGGTATCTAGCAACAAGGTTAAGTAGTGAGAAAACAGAAAAGACAGAATCTAAATGAGAAAAATAACTGCTGAGGAAATTTACCTAATCCCCAGTCCACTCCCAAGAAAAGTCTGCAGTTGAAGAAGACCTGAAAGCTAATTGGCCTATGGCTAGTTCCTTAAGGCTCTCAGTGTTTAGATTGTGGTAACTAATCAACCTGACTCAAATCCACTACTTACATGTTATCAGAAAAGTCTAGGATAATTTGGCCAAATATCAAGGAACTATTTAGTATTGCCAGATTGACACAAGGTTAGTCATTACATTTCCACAAAGGACAATTCATCAGAAAGGGAAATAATCCCGATTTGCTTATTGAAGCAAAGTGCTTGAGATGCCTATGGGGATTCCAAAGACCCAAAATGCTCTGCCAACAAGTCTGAAGTCATTCTGCAAGCAGCAGAACTTCATTAAGTTTTCTTCAGGTAGAACTGACAATCAAATGTCATAGATCAGCTGACATCACTGTGAGGGAAATCCTGGAAGACTGAACATGGGAAAGGGAAAAGTCAAGTCTTTGGGTCAATGGGTATCTGACAATGAACTGTATCAAATACAAAGATACAGTTCAAAAATACTAATTTTCAGTAAGGCTTCTTAAAAGTCATAACCAGGGTGGGCAGTGGTGGCACACGCTTTTAGTCTGGCACTCGGGAAGCAGAGACAGGCAGATCTCTTTGAGTTTGGGGCCAGCCTGGTCTACAGAGTGAGCGCAGAACAGCCAAGACTACACACAGAAACTCTCAGAAGGGGGGAGCAAATAAAAAGTCGCAACCGCCAAGTGGCACACTCCAGTAATCCCTCAGGAGACTGAGGCAGGAAGACCATGAGCTAGCTTCTCCAAAAAGTAAATAAAGGCCAAAAAAAAAAAAAAAAAAAAACCTAAAGGAAATAAGCTCTAATCATCTTAAAAAGCAAAGAAATGTTACAGGACTTGCCTGTTGCTTTTGAGACCAACTTCATGTGCTCCCAAGGGGTTAAACACAGATTTATTGCAAGTTCACAGCAACCATTAAGATAAGTTTAATTTGGGGTTGGAGAAAATGTTCATTGAGAGCATCTGCTGCTCACTATTTTACCCAGCTAGCCTAAAGTTCCATATATAGAACAGGGGCCTTGAACCACTGGAATTAAGTGTGCACAACCATGACCAGCCTGTTTTTAATTAGCCTTTGTATCTGACAAAATTGCTTATACCTGGAATAATGACAATGGGAAAGAAAAGGTTATAATATTTGATAAATAGTTGACCGAGTATGGTGGCACACCTGTAACCCCAGCAGCAGTAACCAGAGGCAGAAGACTCATAAGCTGAGGCAAGACAGAGCTACAGATAGACCCTGTCTCAGACAAACTAAAGGCACACCCAGCAAGCAGTACAGTGCTGTTGAAACTGAATTAGTTGTAGATACACATTTCAAACTCTAGGGCAATTACTAAAAATGACAGCAGGGCTAAGAGACATGTCTTAACAGTTAACACTTGCTGCCCGTTTCTGAGGAACAAATGTTAGTTCACAACAGCCTTTAACGCCGATTCCTGGGGATCCAACACTCTCCTTCGGGCCTCTTTGAATGCCTGCAAACGTATGGCATACATTGACACACACACGTGCAAATACAAAATTTTGTTTGGTTTTTGAAAACAGGGTTTCTCTGTGTAACTCTGGCTGTCCTGGAACTCACTATGTAGACCAGGCTGGCCTTGAATTCACATCACAGAGATCTACCTGCTACCCGCGTGCTGGGATTAAAGGTGGGAAACACCACTGCCCAGAACTAATTTTTTCTTTAAAGGAATCTATAAAATGGAGTAGTTAATAGCTCAGTGAAAACTACACTAAGACATAAAGAGTGGAAGACAAAATGAACAAAGACAAAAATATCAACCCATTTAAACTGGGTCATAAAACCCAACCAAGTACTACCTGTAAGAAATCCTCTTTAAATATGAAAACACATAGATTAAAAGTAAATGGAAGGTGCTGGAGATGTAGCTCGGTGATAGAGCATTTACCTAATATGTAGACAGCATAAAAAATATATGTTGATAGAAAAATACGCAACTTTTAATTCGCATTAATCAAAAGAAAGCTTTGGAGACCTACTGTTGACTCGAGCAAGGAAGTTTTTCACTGCACTGGTAAAAAGGCAATTGTATAAGATCAAAAAGTAGTCGATAAGGAGATACAGAAATACTTAAAAGTATATGCACCTAACAGCAAAGCCTGAACATGGGCATGTGCATCCAACAGGAGCGGCTCACAGGGAGCATGACCCAAGCACCGCATCTTCAGCATCAGCAGACCTTAGCACGCTCAGAATAGAAGCCATGCAAACAACGATTTCTTGGCTCAAAATGAGATTAAACAAGAAACTGATGTCATAAAAGAAGCTGGAAAATCCTGAATTATTTGGGAATTAAAGAACACACTTCTGTTAACAAATGGGTCAATACAGAAGTCTCAAGGGCTGGGATATAGTTCAGTGGTAGAACACTTGCCTTGCAGGGTACCAAGAGTCAAAAGAAAGGGTTTTGATTTAGTATTTTGAACTAAACACTAAAACACAACTTACAATCTGTGGGCTCTAGCACCAGCTTCATAAACTATGGTCCACAGCACCTTACAGGTTGTATGACTCAATGTATGTGTGTGGGGGGGGGGGGGGGGAATCAAGGGAAAATTAGTAACAGTAAAAGGTTTCTGAATATGCAACAACCAGAAAAAAATCAAACATTATGATAGTCTGAATGAGAATGACCCCCATAGGCTTGTATAGTTGAATGCTTGGTCCCCAGTTGGTAGAATTATTTGGCAAGGACTAGGAAGTGTGTCACTGGGGGCAGCAGGCTCTAAGGTCTCAAAGGCCCACCACTCCTACTTACAAACATCTCTGCTTTATTCTCGTAGACCAAAGAATAAGCTCTCAGCTACTGCTCCAGCACCATGCCTGTCACCTTGTTTTACTTCCTGACGGTCATGGACTCTGACCCTCTGAAACTGTGAGCCCCAAACTAAATGCTTTATTTTACAGGTTGTCCTGGTCATAGTGTCTTAGCACAGCAACAGAAAATTAATTAGACAAACATGTAATGAATCCAAGGTATTTATAGAAGCCTTCACCTATGAGGCACTCCATGACTTAAACACAGCCTTGGATCTGAACACACAGTTGAAGACTTTGTGCTGTGTATGCAGTGCCACCAAATGCTGGCTGAAACACATTGGCTCAGATTTGATATTCATTAGGTTGTGAATTAGTATTTATATTGTCTGTACAAAATATTCTTTTGCAGATATATAGTCATATACATATTTTTACCTTCATTTATCAGCATATAACTATCAAACCTGACTGTCTTTAGACTGGAATTTGTTAAGACTTTTAATTTTTAAACTTGCTATTTGAGTTCCTGACAAGTTTCATAAAGACTTGTTAAATGAATTTTGTCTTGGCATTAGGACAAAATATTACAATTTCTGCACTGGCCCTAACCAGACTTCTGCCATTTGTACCACATATTTATTTGGAGTGGCACTCCTGGCACGGATGACTATAAAGTCAACTTTGGGAATTACAGACGATGCTCTAAGTTCTATAACATCAAGTACTCAAGATGTAATTCTTCATGTAAAAAATAAATGAGGACATCCATCTCCCCAGTGTGCGAACTTGCTTTTGTTATTAATAACTGGTAAAATTATATGCACAGCAAAGAACTTTTAAAATAAATTTCTCTGATTTATTATCAGTAAATTGCTAATTTGTATACCTATGTTATAGCCCCAGAGCCAAATAAAAATTTCTCAGGTGTAAAAAGTTACAGGTATAAAAATTTTAAGAAACCTTAACCAAGAGCATAAATAGTATTCAAAAGGAAATCTATAGCATTGAATGTATATATTAGGAATAACAATTTAAAGGAGGTAAGGTAAGCTTCCACTTTACGAGAGAAGAAAAAGAATAGTAAATAAAAACCAAGCAGGACAAAAGAAGCAACTGAAAAGCTCAGGAAGTGAGGTGAGAAGAACACTGGCTCACCTGTTGCTTCAAAAGTCAACTTTATAGAATCCCATGGTGTCTTCTCTTTGGATACAAGTCTGAAATAAGCAGGATTTCTTGGAGAAATTTCTGGAGCCGGAAGATACCAATTTTTCCTAATGGCAAAGTAGCATTAATATTTAAGAGGCCTTCGTAACTGACAGGAGTTCAGAATGAATACACAAAGGGGTATGGAAAACACCTAATGAATGTGCAAATAAGGCCAGCTCCTGATGCCTGCGCTGTGTAATCAACCCTTCCGAACATAACACTAAGGAAGTGAAGGGATGGAGAGATGGCTAAACAATTAAAAAGCTCAGGCTGCTCTTGCAGAGGACCCAGGTTCAGTTCCCAGCATCAACATGGCACCTTACAGCCACCTGCAACTCCAGAACCAGAGATTCAGTGCTCTCTTCTGGCCTCCAAAGGCACACGGCATACACGCTGCGCATAAATGCAGGGGAAGCATATGTAAAGTGCATCTTTTTAAAAGGACAGAAATTACCTGTGCAATTCTACTACCCGTCCTGTTTCCTCTGATGCAATCTTGAGAGGCCAACTCTAAGAGCATCTCAAGCTAGGATGAAACTGTAACTGTTGTTTGTATCATATTGGGAGGGTCACTCTTTCTAACTACTCAGGTTTCTTGAAGAAAGACTTCTTAAAACTATTCTGCTGAGTCCATTATCTGACTAAAGAAATGAAAATTTTGTAGTCTTATTACAAACAAGCATTTTTTTGTAAATGTATTTTTTGGTTCTTTGTAAAGCATTACAAACACTTGGCTGAGTTAAAGATAAGGTTCAATTAATAAGGGCCCTGAGACATTGATCGAATTTGGGAACTAATACCCAACTTAAACAAAAAGTAATGACCAACCTGACCAGAAAGTGCACTGGAAGATACCAAGGGAAGCCACAAAGTGGGGCATCCTCCTCACAGTGAGCTCGGATTGTATCATTGATCTCAGGGATGTGAGGTGTTATATGAGACATTCCAGTATAGTCAAACCCATTGATCCATATTCCAGAGTCTCTTTTTACTATGTTTCCTTCCAAGTTATGAAAAGTTCTACTCATGTGCTGAAAAGAACAAGACTAGTAAGGAAACTGTTTTAGCTATTTTTCACCCACATTCCTACCCCAGTTCAGAACTGATTAGAACAGGAAACAAAAAGGAAACTCAGTAATTACTAAGTCACTCTTAGCTTTTTTCTTTTAAAGTAGATGACACATATGTAAATGAATGTTTTATTGTAAATCACAAATATAGTTGAATGTATATTTAAGTTATATATAAAACTTGGCTGGGCGCAGACCAGGTAGATTTCTGAGTTCAAGGCCAGCCTGGCCTATAGACCAAGTTCCAGGAAAACCAGAGCTGTTACACAGAGAAACCCTGGTTTTGGGAGTGGTGGGAGGGATTACATATAAACTGATCAGGGACAGTGTGTGTGTTTGCGGTCTCATTTAATCAGAAGGCTGAAGTGGAGGATCATTTGAGCCTAGGAGTTGAAGGAAGTCTAGGCTTCTGCAAGAGTCTGTCTCAAAAGACAAAACAGTCTGGTGAGATGGCTTAGTAGTGGTTAAAGCATATACTGCTCTTCCAGAGGACCCTGGTTCAATTCCAAGAACCCATCCACATCAGGTGACTCAAAACCACCTCTAACTCCAGCTCCTTCATTCAGATACACATACCCACACAGACACGTGTACATACTTAACTAAAAATAAAATCTCAAAAAACCCAGATGACAAAAAATTGAAATTCTATTCAAATTTAAGTTAGAATTCCTTTCAGAAAAAGACTGAAAACAAATCATGGGAAGCACATGTCTATCCCCACACATTTCCTCCTCAGTGCATGACATGAAACTAATCCATATGCAGAGAAAGACAAGTACGGCACATACCACATGTCAGTCTTACTGTTCCAAAGGCTTACAATTCATGTAAAATAGCTGCTCAGCAGAAAACAACAGCCTGAAGTCGGGGAGCAGCATAGGAAGGGCTTCTGCGACATGGGCTGGCAAACGGAAGCACAAGTTGGAACTCAGGGCAACCAGCTTTGGGTAGAATATCACCATTTTTACTCTATAAAAGGTTATCAGTGGTAGAAATTTGCGTAGCTGGTAGGGCCTAAAATAGCTATTATTTTGCCCTTCATGGGAAAAAGAACCCCCCCAAAAAAAAAATCACAGTCCTTTTAAAAAATAAAAATGTAGGGGCTGGAGAGATGGCTCAAAGGTTAAGAGCACTGATTGCTCTTCCAGAGGTCCTGAGTTCGGTTCCCAGCAACCACATGGTGGCTCACAACTGTCTGTAATGAGATCTGGTGCCCTCTTCTGGCCTGCAGGCATACATGCAGACAGAACACTGTATACATAATAAATAAAATTTAGAAATAAAAAATAAAATAAAAATGTAGCTTTTCCTAAATACTACTGCCATAGTTGGAACAACTGGCATGCCACTGAATCCCACACTGGACCGCCTTAAAAGCTGTTACACAAAACATCACTGTCCTTTAAGACTACAGCCAAGGGCTATTAGGATTCCTTTCAAAATCTCTCAAGTTGAAATATTTTAATTTTTCAGACCTTGAATAATTAATTACCTAAATTATGACTTAGTGTGACCACTCTCCAACCTCTACCTAACAAAAAGGGAGACGCAGCTCTGGCTATACAGTAGCACTTAAGAGGTTTTGGAAAAAGACCTGAAATCCAAAGAAAGCCCTAAACTTCATTTTAATAACTCCTTTTAGGTTGTTTTCATCACATACAACTTTAAATGTCCCTAAGCCTCAATTTTACTCGCAATTTTTAATGTCTATTTTATTGTGTTAGTAATAGTTTAAGACTTTTAGTCAGCCAACAGATATCTGTGCAATTTGTATTTTTAAATGCTCATGATTTCCAGCTTACATAATGCACAAGTTATATATACATACAAACACACGTGTGTGCGTGCACACATCACGGAAAGAGAGTCTAGCTAATAAGAATGCCCACCGATAGTCAGTGTTCTTTGTTGTCTTATACACAAAGAAATCTAAACCAACTAAACTATGTCAGCAGCAGGAAAGCCAATTTCCTGTTCACTAGTGAAGCTCAAAACACACGCAGCAAGTTTCCCCTCCTGACCTCACTGCCCTTACCTGAAGGAACACTCTCTTCGGCTTTGGATTCTCAGGACTGGAGCTGTACGGAAAAAAGGCTCCACTGCAGACGAGGAGGAACGAGATGGCACACACCAGAGTTAGAGTCAGCATAGTTGTCTTTGTGCTTTTCACAAGGTAAATGAACTTAATCTAAACAAAATCACAAAGACAGAAAAATTATAAATTCATACCATTGGTAGAGACGTGTTTTAAATGACCTTTTTTAGTGGGTACTGTTGCAAGGAGCCTGGGTAATGTACTATGACACACAGTAAAAAAAAAAAAAAAAAAAAAAAAAAAAAGTAATCCCTCAGGTGTTCCCATACTAAGTGAGAGTCTAGAAAACGACAGATACCGTCAACTGGCCAGGATGGTCCTTTGTGACAGTGGACCTGAGAGCAACAGGAGAATGGAAACAAAATACAATGATGCTGTGCTAGAACATCAAAGGAAAAAGGACCAGAGTCCATTAGCAGTCAAGCCAGCACCTTCTGAGACTCACTGCACAGCAGACACCACTGAACTGAACCCAACATGGCATCAAAGCTGCCAAACTGTCAAAGGTAAGCTTGTGCCCAAACTACACCATGAAACAGTAGTGTCCTTTCAGTTTACCATCGTAAACACTAAACAAGGAATCTGAACTTGGCACAGTAAACGTGATTCTCTCAGTTGCAATGTTGGTATCCAAAAATATACTTAGCTTTTTTTTTTTTTTCTGTAACCAAAATAGCATATTGAAAGAAAAGTGAACACAAAATGCATTTCTCAGGTCTGAGAAACTATCTAAAACTAGCTCCTACTTTTGTTTCATCTTCCTGCCTACATCCTAAGCTCATAAAGAACATGAATACAGGGGCTGGAGAGATGGCTCAGAGGTTAAGAGCACTGGCTGCTCTTCCAGAGGTCCTGAGTTCAATTCCCAGCAACCACATGGTGGCTCACAACCATCTGTACTGAGATCTGGCGCCCTCCTCTGGCGTGTGGGCATACATCAAGGCAGAATGTTGTATACATAATAAATAAATAAATCTATAAAAAAAAAGAACATGAATACAAAGATATTTTCATAGAAAGGAACATAAAAAATATATCAAAGTCTCTGCAAAGTTAAAGAATCAAATGAAGAAGCTAAGTGTGGTAGCACAGTCCTGTAATCCAGCACTTGATGAGTGGACGCAGGAGGTATCTCCAGAAAGTTAGACTAGCCTGGGCCAGTGAGACCTTGTCTCAAAACACAGAAATGGGCAGTAGAGCGGGGAATATGGCTCAGCGGGGAAGAGCACTCACTAGGTACAGAATCCCCTGCATGCATTTAAAAGTCAGAACTGGTGGGGTGGAGACAGGCAGATTCTAGGAGCTCATGGGTTGGCCAGCCTAGCTGAAAAGCAAACTTCTGGTACAGTGAGTTATTCTCTCAAGGAAATGAGGCAGGGCCTGGTAGGGGAAAGGCCTGGTGTCATCCTGTCCCTCAGAATGTCATTCACTACCACACGTATACAACACACATTAAAAGTGAAATGGGGGGGGGGGGGGGGGGACACATATAGACCCTGGTGCAGCCTGTGTGAACTATGGCTGGGCTGTTTGTGCATCTCCTGACCCCAGACCTATTTCAGCTCTCAGCAAGTGATAGAACCATTTACCCAACAAAGCATAACTCTAGGAAACATGATGACTTACCACTTAACAAGAGGTAACTGTTTTCTAAAATATCCATGTAATAAAGCCTCACTGACTAGGCACCTTCTCTGCAGTAAAGATTATGGTTCAGTGTTCTACCCAAGGAGAAACCTCACAGTTAGAAACCAGTGTCTTCAACAGTATGACACATAAGTAAGAAAACAGAGAGAGAGAACTCTAAGAGCACCATTTCCAGTAACAAAAGGAAATAAAGTTGTTTGTTTTAGGGGAAGAATGCATCACCATGACCTTTACGTCTTCTTGGTATACTGAACCCACAGACATTGACCCTATCTTTAATTTTTTTCTTAAAAAAATACAAGCAGCATAAGTTCACAAAATCCAATACAGCTAAAGTCATAACACATATAAAAAATAAAAAACAAACCCAGTTTTCCTTACAAAATATGAGGAAAGAATCATCACACAGACAGCCAAAATGGAGGCTAGCACAACATCAGGAGGGATTTCCGAACCGCTTCTTCCAAGGATAGGAGTGAACATCTCAAATACAGCCCAGATGAGATACAGTCCATAAATATAGGGGATAAACAGCCCCAAAAGGTAAAGAGCAATAAATCTTCCTTGGGCACCTAGAAAAAAGAAAGATTACAAACCTATGAAAGTCTATAAGATACAGGGTTCATTTTCACAGGGCCCACCCACTCTGACACCTGACAGAAACCCAGTCAGGTGTGACTCGGACATGTGACCTAGTGCAATCCGACATTTTCATCAGGGAGGATTAAAGTAATACAATAGTAAATGTTCAAAAACACGAGCATGGAATGGGGTATAGAGCATAAGTTGTTTTGTTTTGGTTTTTTGATACAGGGTTTCACTGTAGCATTGGAGCCTGTCCTGGAATTAGCTCTCTGTAGACCAGGCTGGCCTCGAACTCACAGAGATCCACCTGCCTCTGCCTCCCAAGTGCTGGGATAAAAGGCGTGCGCCACCACCGCCTAGCCAAGATAAATTTTTTTTTTTTTTTTGTTTTTTCGAGACAGGGTTTCTCTGTGGTTTTTGGAGCCTGTCCTGGAACTAGCTCTGTAGACCAGGCTAAATATTTACATGACATAAAAATTAAATATTTTGAAAAGCCAACTGATTAAGTAAGTAAATAATCTCTAGGTGCCTTGCATTTTTAACACAGTTCTCATTTTTATAAAAAAAACCAAAGTTATCCTACCATGCTTCTTGAAGTCCTTGTACACGCAAAGCTTTGTGAGCAAGGGAAATGCTACCCAGATAGCACTCATGAATGCAGAGCAAAATCCTTGGTAAGTGAGAGCAACAAGGAAAGCACAATGTACAAACAACGAGGTGTCAAAAAACACTTCTCCCAGATACTGGTTGCTGACATTCTGAAAGAAAGAAAAATGCAGTCTTGTTCATGGTCATTCATAAATATCTTTTATTACAATTTCTTCAAGGTCATATGCATCTTATTTTCAGCAGGGTCAGCTCTTCAAACTGATGAAGGAAACACACTGCTGCTCCCGCCAGATGGAAGTGGTTACGACTGCTGCACAGGACAAGGCAATCCAGCAAGATAAACAAGGCAGGAGCAATACTGCTCTTTCTAGCCGAGGCTAGGAAATGGCCCGCAGTAAAAAGATTCCTAAAGGCATCCATCCCCTATCCTTTCTCTGCTTCTGCAACTTCCAAACCCTGTTCCAAGCAATCTAGTGACCCACGAAGGACACTGCCGCTGCTGCAGCATCGGAGCGCACTCATCCAACCGCCCACCTTCACAGCAAGGGCCACGGTGGAAGTGTGGCTCTTTCCTCTCTTTCCTATTGCTATTTCGTCTTCTTTGTCACCTTTTTCTACTCTTGAAACTTTCTTACACATTTGAAGTTCCTTTTAAAAGACATGGAGTCCAGGGGCACCTTATACTATTTGAGAAAGAAAGGTACCTATGGAACTTCATGTAGGGATAAGTCCCGCCCCTTAGGGGGCGTGTTCGCCTCGGGCTAATGTCTGCCTATAAATTTGGCGAGCATGCTCCGAGCTGTCTCTTCTGCTTTCCTGGTCTACGCGGGAACGGTGGTTCTGTAAGTCTATTTCTACATTAAAACTATATATATTTTTACAATCTGTCTGCATTCGTTTACGCCGCTACATTTTAGTAATAGGGGCGACGGGGCTGCGTTCCCAGCACCCCGGCCGCCTGCCCGGCTAGCTCAGTCGGTAGAGCATGAGACTCTTAATCTCAGGGTCGTGGGTTCGAGCCCCACGTTGGGCGCCAACTTCAAACATTTTAACATATGCCAAAGAGATCCCATCAATGCAAACCTCGAATTGTAACTACAGTGCATAGACACCAAAGAGGGAATGGCTCGCCTTTAGGCTTCTTTTTCTCTCCATTCTCATTTCTGACTTCAGAGACCCCACTTTAAATTTCACTGGCAAACAGGTTTGAGTTGTTGAATACTTAGGTCCCAACCCTGTGTTAACAGGTGTGATCTTAAAAGAAAATAATTCCCAGAACTCAACCTGAAGGCTAGATGGGCAATGCACACCTATGGACCCAGCACTCGGGAGGCTGAGTCAGACGCCCTCAAGTCTAAAGCCAGACTAGGTTACAGGGCAAGATTATTACCCAATCTGGGAACACGATGAGACTCTGCCTCAAAATATTCAGAACATTAATAACAGTAGTAATTCACTCTGAACCTGAATGCACTCAAAGAGCTTAGTAAGGAACACTGAAGTTACTAAGCATGTTTTACAGTACATGCCAGAGTGGAACAATTGAAATCTACGTTCATCCACATCTCTGTTGGTCCCTCCCTCCCCCGTCCTTTTCCAATAAAGTTGTCAGAGTTTTCCTACTAAATCACAAAACCACTCAACTCTATCCTGCTAAGAATAGGTTAATGGTGGTCTAACTGATTTTTAGGGCCAACCTCCAGTTTCACCCTGGCCCCCTTCTTGTGTGTTACGGTTTGTATTCCCCTGTCTTCACCGCACTCTACTTTTTTCTTTAACTATGGCCCAAATGTGTCTTGCACATTCCCAGTTTTAACTGATCAGCAGCTTGGTCTCTACCAGGCATTAATGCTTCCAAAGCCCCATTCAAATGTTACCTCTTTGTGATGACATGATAACATCTCTCAATTCCAAACCCACGTCTCTTGCCTCTGCATTCTGAAAGCACTCTATTCCACATGCACAAAATACAAGACTCACTCTAGTTTCTACGTCTTACCAAATGAGGCTGAGCGCAAAGGTGTCCCATTCTCATGGAGCACTCAGCTAAGAGCCTGAAACAACCAGGCAGATTGGCGGTACAGGCCTGCAATCCCAGCAATCCAGGAAGCGGAGGTAGAAAGAGCACATATTCAAGACCCACCTGGGATACAGTGTGAGCTCAGGGCCAGCCTGAGGAAATTTAGTGAGACCCTGTCTCAAAAGTAAAAGCAAAAAAGTGGGGCTTGGGAGATAGTAAAGTGCTTAATACGCAAGGATGGGAACCTGTATTCCAACCCTAGATTCCACATAAATGAGCTGGGTAATCCCAGCTTGAGTAGGCAGAGAAACATGGGTAGATCCTTGAGAATCTGCCAGCCAACCTAGCCCTAATAAGCAAGGCCCAGGCCAGTGAGAGACCTGGTGTCAAACAGCAAGGTGCTCCTTTCCTCCCTGACTGTTCCAGGCCTGCAGCCACCAAGAATGACACAGTTAACAATCCAGATAGGGGAGCTCATGACTAAGCTGCCTCAGAGGAAACAAACGATCACTGACGCCCTTCGCCCTGAAAAGACAGGAGCACCAAAGGCAGAAATTTGGGGAACTCGAGACAAAATGTACAAAACCACACCAGATGACATTCTGAATTTGGATACAGAACATATATATTGGTAGTGCAAGACGAAATGGCTTTGTTATGATTTATGACTCTTTGGAATATGCAAAGAAGAATGAGTGTAAACACAGACTTGCAAGACATGGCCCCTATGAGAAGATAAGACCTCCAGAGAACAGCGAAATGAGCACCAGAACAGAATGAGGCGTGCGGGACCTGGCAGTGCTGACAGAGCAAACGGAGTAGAGCCTGCACTTCTGAGGAGAGGACTAATAAACTAAAACCTTCTTTGTGAAGGGGTAAAAAAATTGATAGCTAAAGAGGAACACTTGAGGTTGTCCTGACATGAACACCCACATACATGAATATATACACCAAGAAACAGTAACGAGAGGGCCAAGAACCCAGACTGGCGCAGAGCAGAGCCCAGCACTGTCCAAGTAAATGCATCCCTGTGGAGTGAAAGCTGAGAGCATGTTACCCTTCCACTGCCTTCAGCACCGCGTGCTGTGGTCATTCCGCGGCCATCAGTAAGAGCTAGTGGGGTCCCACTCGGATCTCTTCCCACCAACAATATTCAACCACACTCGGATTTACACAGAGACCCATGCTGAGAACAGGCGTGTGATCCTGAGCCTCAGTGTGGTTCTTTGGGATACTGAAGCCACTCTGAGGAAAGTATGATCGCAGCCACAGCATTCTAAATGCTGCGGAAAACACAGCTTGTAACTTCACCTTGAATTCTGCATCCCAGTTCTCAGAATAAGAAAACTCCAAGAAATTAACACCATGACAGCATTTGCTATAGCCATGCTAAACAATTTCTAATAGCTCTGAAAGACCAAACACAATAAATTTCACTTGTTCGTCTTCAGTTCTTGAATGCAGCAAAAAAAAAAAAAAAAAAGGAAAAAAAAAAAAAAAACACATCAGCCACTTACCACATAAAAAAATCTTTTTGCAAGGGTATGTATGAATATTATTTTGGCCACTTACCACATAATAAAATCTTTTTGCAAGGGTATGTATGAATATTATTTTGGCCACTTACCACATAATAAAATCTTTTTGCAAGGGTATGTATGAATATTATTTTGGCCACTTACCACATAATAAAATCTTTTTGCAAGGGTATGTATGAATATTATTTTGGCCACTGTCGCAGTTCCATACAGGCAAACAGCAATATAAAAGTGGTTGTACCATGAGAGAGACTGTCCAATGAGAGAGATGAACACTGCAATAATGAGAACGGTGACGAGGCTAGTGAACCAGCCAATGAACGTGATGGCAAGTCCACATAAGAAGTCTCTTGGGTAGTCAACGTCTGATGAACAGAAAACGAAAAGGTAACGTCACCATCTTGATCAAATCATTACAAAACCAGTTAGCAGTGCTAGGGGCAAATGATTCAGGTAAAAGGGAACAGAAGCGCTGCATCCACCTTCTGTACTGTACTGGTGGCCTGTGTGTAGGGTAGAAGACTTCACAGGACCTTTCACTAACAGTCAATCTATAGGGCCAGCAGGACAGCTCAGCAGGTCAAGCTGATGACCTCAGTATGACCCCATGACCCACATGGGAGGAGGAGAGAGCCGAATCCCACAAGCTGCCCGCTGACTTACACACCTGAGCATGTGCCCACACCCACACATTAAAAAATATATATATTTTTTTTTCAAAAAATAAAAAGTCAACTTCTACAAACCTTTTTTTTTCTTTTTGGTTGTATGTAAATTTTACTTTTAACACAAGCTAAAGATTGAAAACAGTATAAAATACTACTGAATTTCAAAAAATATTAAATTTTGTAATTAATGAGCAGGGAAAACATTCTAACAGTTTTCTTCTTTTTTCTCGAGAAGTACATGGCAGCAGCACTCTCTGAAGTTTTGTTGGTACACCAGTAACTTCACATCATAGAGACTACACAACCATGAGGGCTCGGCAGCCGACAGCGCGCTGAGCGCACAGAGCAGCTGCCCACAGATCCCTGTGCCTCTTAGTAATTTGCCAAGGCAGACAAATCAGCTAATTTTCCCAACGTCAGGGTGAGTGCATAAAAACTGCTGACTTCACCACCCCTGGAAGGATAATGAGCATACGAGTTCAATACTTAGGAATTTCTAAAACAATATAAATCAAGTAATATTCTAAGATGCTGTACTTCTTGGGAAGAAGCAAAAGCAATAGCTCAAATCTCTCCAGCAAATCCCATCCCTGTTCCAGTACCCACACCTTAGAGGAAATACTTACTCCTGTGTTTGGGCTGCAGCAGTTTTTTCCCCAAGTACACAACGACAGCCATGACCACCATGTAGTTTATTATTGAGCCAACACGAGAAGGATATGCAATGACAAGGAGGCCAAACACATCAAAAAAGACCATGTTCCCATGTCGGTACTCAGACGAAGAAGCCAGCATGTCAGATGTAGCTAGGTATTTAAGAACTGCTAAAATGTTGTCACCTTTTAGTAAGAGAGACAAGACGGTCTAGTAAGCTAATAGATTGTGACTTACACATCCACGCACAGCAGAGCTAGGTCAGGCCCTCTTCCTAGCTAGGTGAGGCCCTGCTCATGCTTCTTTCTAAGTAATCGCAGTGACTGTAATTGCTAAGTCAGACAGCCCTCATCTTTCCAATGCCAAGCCTAACTCATTCAACCACATACTGTCTCTCGACCACACAGGCAATAGAATGCACTTTCTAGATATTTCACTATCGTATGTCAAAAGCCAAACCTGTTAATACCAACCTGCTCTCTGAATGGAATCTATGAGGATTCTGTCCGCTGTGTCATACTTGGTGTGATATATGTATCCATTTTCAATAAAAGCTAAGTCTATTCCTAAGACAGACAATGGAAAAAGTCATCTTACTTTAAAGATTGGACTTGTGTTAGGCCTGTTTGTTTAACATATTAAATTCTAAAAGACAAAATGGCAAAGCAGGAGATTGACTGATGTCTGTCATATTCATGAATGTCATAAACCCTTTTCTGTTCTTACAAAAATCTATAACTACAGTCCATAATTTAAAACATAATAATTAAATAAGCAGTTTAAGCCACATATTAGGGAAGAAAGTTTGGGGGATGGAATTTGGACAGTTAAGAGCAAAATTTAAATTTCGAGTAAACTGTTCAAGTCGCCAAAGCAGTTGGAAAAGTAAGACAACAGCATGGGAGTCAAAGGATTCTTTGGGATTCTGAGGATTCTTGGCCTCTTTGGGAATGAAGTGCTAACCAGTTCTCTCCATCACTCACTGTGGTACGCAGCACCCTACAGGAGGCGGCACTGAGATTATGAGGGGGTTTTTTAAAGGACAGCATCGTGAACTCTACTTTGGTGACTCAGAGGATAAAGCCCTCACATACAGTGTCCTCTCAGAAGCTATTACAATCTTCAAGAAGTAAAGTTTCCTTTGAATACAATAGCCTGTGACCACTGACAGAATACCTGGAATGTTTCCAAAATCCCTGTAGATTCGAAAGTCAGTATCAGAAGGGATGATTCCACTCTGAAAAACCTCCTGAGCCACCACAGAAGCAAAGGGGTGTTTGGCTGCTGAAACATAAGCCTGGACCAACCAAGGATTTTCAGGGCCTGAAACGAAACAAGACAACATAACATAAGGTTAACCAGATAGCTCTTTCAGCACAGCCACACACGCTCAGCGACCAAGGAAATGTGAGCAACAGCTAGCAATGAGTACAGGGACTCTTTCCGGGCTGACGGAAATGTCTTCGGAGCTGGAGGGGCTGCTTTGTCGTTAAGGTTTCTGCTGCTCAATCATGAGGACAAGAGATCAGTTCCCAACACCCAAGGGGCTCACAGACGCCTGTAACTCCAGCTCCAAGGGTGTATGACCTCTTCGAACCTTTCTGGGTACCTGCACAGACATGCGCACACACATTCACAAAGAAATGAGTACACACACACACACATAAAACACTTTCTTTAATACTCTAGAATTATGATAGTGTACACAACTATGTGGAAATACCTAAAAGAAAAAAACACTGAATTTTAACATTAAGTAAGTGAACTAGAGGACATTTAAATTATATATTGATATAATAAGCCATGATTTGAATATATGTATATATATATATTAATTCTAATGAAGGCTGCTGTTACAAAATATCACAAGGAAATCATGTGTGTATGTGTTCATGTGCATAAATACACATTATTAAAATATCCTAGAAGAATGTGGAGCAAATTATAACACTGGTTTTCTCAGAGTGCTGCAAATGCCAGTTTCTTATAATCAGTTGGTAGAGCCTGAATTTTTCAAAATGGAACATATTTGAATGGTTTAATCTGTTCAAATTTTATAAGTTTGTATTTTATTAACATCATTCAAAAATGATGTCAGCAAGCCTTCCTGACTCACTACGGTGCTGGCCTGGTGGGCCACTGTTTCTGCCATTAAGAATGACTATTCCAGCCACCGAAAGCTCCCCAAATGAGCATTTCCCTCTGAGATGACAATGGAGCGCTGGAGAGTACAAACTGTTTTGTCTGAAAAGCCAGGACAGGACAAGGTTCACACGCACAGAAAAGCTGAGGATGGCCACCTGCCACACACTCTCAAACACAATCTCTATCTGCTGGCCTGAGGGTGCTGTCCTCTTGGTCAAACACAGAAACACTAATGAGCTTTCCAGAAGACAGCACCACAGGAGAGCTGGTCGTCTACAGGCAGTGAGGGCATTCTCTCTGGGTGGAGAGCACAGAACAGGGTGCTGGGTCATAAGTTATAGTTTATAATACACGTCTGGCAGGGGAAATATGAGGCACACTGTTGTCTAGAACAGCCTAGGAGTTTCGCAGCAGGTGAGACTCACTGCACTCCTTGCTTAGAGCTCTGCTACTCTTTTTTCATTTGGGAGCTGCTGAATGTGCTCCTCCTATCCTGGATGATATCAAGAAATGAGGTGGAGGGGTGCAGAGCAGCCACCTCTCTCTGTAGATATTAGAGTTCAGCTGCTTCCTGCTGATTAAGGAGAAAATAGAAAAGATTGAGAGTTAAATAAAAAATATTGCTGTATCTCACCTTGTGACCTTGAATTTCTCTCTCTCTCTCTCTCTCTCTCTCTCTCTCTCTCTCTCTCTCTCTGTGTGTGTGTGTGTGTGTGTAGCCTTGGCTGACCTGAACTCCCTATATAGACCTGGAACTTGGAGATCGCCCAACTCAGCCCACCATAGGCTGAGGTTAAAGGCCTACACCACCAACTTGGCAACCCTGAATTTCCTAAAGGTGTAACTGAAGTACAATACAGATCCATCTTGAGAGTAAGAGTGTAAAGTAAGTTTGAGAGAGTAGTGGATTATGGTACTGTTTAGGTTACAAAAGCACTTAGCGTAATTTCAAAACTTAAACAACAGCATGCCTCTTGAAGATGCTAGAGAAAGTCTCTACCACCTTAGTCACCTCACCCAGAACACTACTCGCCATTAAGACAAGTCAGAATGGTAGGACATGCCTAGGATCCCAGCTCTCTGAAGGTAGAGGCAGAAGGATCCGGAGTTCAAGGGCAGCCAGGGATACCAGTAAGATCATTTTGACTCAAACAACAACAAAAGCAGCTTTGGGCAGAAGCTTTGTGTGTGGCTAAAATGCACTGATGCTTTGCCCTAGTTTCCAGCAGAGGCAGGACAAAGGACGGACTTCCATCGCCAGGTCCTAACAGGCCTTGGCTGGGCAAGCTGAGCTTTAGGTTCTGCTAGGATGGCAAGGGCACGGTACTTATTGATTTACCCTGTTATCTTCAGGAAAGTTTCAGCCTAAGATTTAAACTCTCTCTGGCTATTGAGCATAATGTTTAATTTAATTAATTATAATAAATATATATAATTATACATAATAAAATTGTATTTGACAGAACTTCTAAATAGAAATAAATGGTTGCTTTCCATTTCTGATTTTTTTAAATTAATTCAGTGATAAAATTAAATCCCTTAAACTGAGTAAATTTTCTCATTTTAATTCATAATTGTCATTTTAAATCCTTATAAATCATCCATAATTAATAAAAATAATACCATTATAGGATGGTGATTTTTTTAAATATTTTTTTCGAGACAGGTTTTTCTGTGTTGCCCTGGCTGCCATGGAACTCACTCTCTAGACCAGCCTGACCTCGAACTCAGAGATCTTCCTGCCTCTGCCTCCAAAGTGCTGGGATTAAAGGCGTGTGCCACCACTACCCAGCTGAATATTAATTTTATTACACTTTTTGTAATAACATAATGCAAAGCATTCTATACTTTACTACATTTTATATGATGTCCTCATTCGCTTCTCTGCTGCTGGGATACAACACTGACAAAGGAATTTGTGGGGAGAAACAGGTTCGTTTAGTTTACAGGTTAAAGTCCATCCAACAGCAGCTAAAGCAGGAACTCAAGTCAGGAATCCGGAGGCAAAATCTAAAGCAGAGGCCATGGAGGAATGGCTGCTTATAGGCTTGCTCTCCATGGTTTGCTTGGCTTGCTTCTTATAAAAACTCAGGACTACCTGCATAGGAGTGCTACCACCTAGCGTGAACTGGGCCCTTCCACATCAATCGTTAACGAGAAAACAAACAGACATGCCCACAGGCCAATCTGATGGAGGTGGCTCCTCAGCTGAGGCTCTCTCTGTATGGTTATGTCCGTGTCATGTTGCCAAAAACAGGAAACAACCAGCACATATTACAATCCAGTTAACTGGCTCTGAACCAAGTCTGAACCCGAATCGCTCAGGTTCAAACCATGTTATGCCAACTATAAAACCTCACTAATTAAACCCTCCTGCCTCTATTCTTCATCTATAAAGTAGAAGTATAGCAGCATGTATTCCTCAAGTTGCTTTGAGAACTAAATAACTTAATGTACATAAGATATTTTAAACAATATTGCATATAAATAAGTACTATACAGGAGCCAAATGTTGATCATATTATTTTGTTTAAAAAAACTAACAAGGACAAGCAGAAAGACCGCTGGAACAATGACCAGCCAGCCTTGCTGAAAGGGTGAGCTCCAGGTTCAGCAAGAGGCCCTGTCTCAGTATCTCAATAAGGTAGAATGCAACTGAAGAAGACACTGGAAGTTAACACATCTAGCTATCACAAGCATGTGCACGCGCACACACACACATACAAACATATACCACACATGTACACACCAAAAAAAAATTCACAAAGACAAGTTAAAATTATCTCCCACCTTAAAAACTAATCTCATTCAAGAGACTGCTCCTTAAAGAACTTACTGACACTGAAAAACGCTCCACCGTCCTAAGATTAGAACTGAGCTGAAACGCGCAGTGCAGCCTCACTTACCTGTTTGGAACACAAGTTCTTTCCCTCCTACACCTGCTGCCTCCAGGTTAATAAATGCACGGATCAAACTGGCCCAGGGATGCTGAGTAATAAAACCATGACTAGCCTTAATGAGGAGAGAAACAAATGTAGGTTAAAATATGATTTTATATTGCTTATTTGCATGACAGAATGGCTATCTTGAAAAGGTGGGGACTTGGAGAGCAAAGTAAACACTTCTCAAAGGCAGACTCCAAAGACATCATCCTGTATATAATGGTGTTCAGTTGGCCAAGTGGAAAGCCACTGTGAGAATACGCCAGAGTTAAAAGAAAGAAAATACAGGAGAGAAATCCATATGGTTGGCCATTCCTGCTGTCAGTACCTTCCTCAGATCATCTCTCCGAAACTCAAAGGCTAAAGACTCTCGGGAGAGAGTCATTATAACATTAAGAAGCCCTTGAATCAGACACTCTTCTGGGCACAGTGGCACATGCCTGTAATCCTAGCACTCAGAAAGCTGAGGCAAGAAGATCGCAAGTGCCAGGCCATCATGGGAAACACGGCAAGTCCCTGTACAAAAACTAAAAGTAAAAACAGCCAGGCAGTGCTGGCACACACCTTTAATCCCAGCAGTCAGGAGGCAGAGGCAGGCAGATCTCTGTGACATGAGGCCAGCCTGGTCTACAGAGCTAGAAGAAACACTGTCCTCAGGGAAAAACAAACAAAAGAATGGCATCCTAGCAAGATGAGCTGTTCTCAGTTGTGTTTCTAACATACTGAGTATGTAGCATTCATGGGTATTTTTAAAGTACTATCCAGTACAGTATTTGTTTTGCATATTATTTTATAGTATTACTCATATTACTAATAAAACACAACAAGTGTTACCAATCATTATTGCTCTCATTATTATTCAAATCAAATATTTAAAACAATGAAATCTTACTTGCAAGACATTTTCCTCAGCACCATTGAAGAGAAACACTACAGCATGCTGCAAGGGTTCAGACGACACGGACATGCCTCGGAGAACCTCGAGCATCACTGCACAGCTAACTGCATCATCGCTGGCACCTTGGAGTCAGAGAAACAGAGTCACTTCTGAAAGCATCAGTGGCTTTCAGTGCTGGTGTGGAATGCGGCTCTCCCCTCAGAGCATCCTGACAGCTGCATCCAGAAGCATAACTGTCACAGGGTGACAGCTACGCCCAATAAAAACAGAAGTGGTCTACTCAATGACATAATGGTACCCGGGACCATGCTTACTGATGTAGGCGGGTCTTCTATCTGTTGCTTTCATTGGTTAATTAATAAAGAAAACCGCTTGGCCTGATAGGTCAGAACATAGGTAGGCGAGGAAGACAGAACAGAATGCTGGGAAGAAGGGAAGTGAGGCACATGCCATAGCTTCTCCTCTCCGAGATGGACACAGGTTAGAATCTTCCCGGTAAGCCACCACCTCATGGTGCTACACAGATTACTAAATGTGGGTTAAAGCAAGATGTGAAAATTAGCCAATAAGAGGCTGAAACTAATGGGCCAGGCAGTGTTTAAATGAATACAATTTGTGTGTTGTTATTTCAGGTGTAAAGCTAGCAGTGCAGGAGCTGGGTGGGATGAAAAGCAGGCCTGCCCGCCTCTTCACTACAGCTTACAGTACACACTCAGTAGCTGTGTTAGGGAATTAACCAGCTAAGGCCACAGGCCAGCTGGAGTTTATCCTCTGGAATAGTCTTACTTCCTCCACGCTATCACCTCACATTTACAGAGGGAGCAGCTCTCTGTGATGGATGCTTACACTGGATGAAGGAGCACTCGTCAGGGCTTTTCTGAAGGGATAAAGTAAGGGAACGGTACAAAGAAGGCACCAAACGATAAGACACAGAAGAGGGACCTAGGACCCTGATCCAGCACTGAAAAGGTACAGCACTCAGTCCACTCTGCCAGCCTCTATGTCAGAAAATCATCATACTAATTTTAACATTTGTATGTACTGACTTGGTATACGACAGCGCACAGATACAAGTCAGAGGACAAGCTTTCCTTCCATGATGTGGGTCCAAATTCAGGCAGCGGGGCTTGTTGGTGGCAGGCACCTTTAAGCACTGAGCCATCTTGCTGTGTTTCAAAAGCACTGTGAGGACTAAAGTAGCCAATGGCTATCTGACGACACTGAGAAGGTACGGCTAGTCACTCATGATATTGTTAGCATGTTCAAAGGGGTCCTCATCCTTCACCAGCATAGAATGAAATACGGGGATCCAATGCAGCAAGGAGGAGGGCTGCAGTGGAAAAGGAGTAAAACTGGACTGAACGAGAGCGGGAGGCACACTGGAGTCCAGTAACCAATTCTGTTTTCTAGAGAGCTGACTTTTCTCATAATGGCAGTTTAAAGGGCATTCGGGGTGAGTGAACACCACCCTAGTGCAGGCAGCACTTCTAGATGTGCACACGGGGAGGCCGGGTGCCGCAGCATTCAGCGGGACTTGAGAGCAGGAAGTCATTCACTATTTCCTGATCAGAGAGCAGATGACGGCTCCACCTCACAGGTTTTGCACAGATTATACAAGACAACCCTACTGTCTGGCCCTGGAAAACAGCCTGCCTTAGTCTTCCCCTTTCTCTGAAAACTTAGGGAAGGCTGTGTAACCAGCCAAAATAAAATACTTGCTTTGGGGCTCTGTTAAATTCCATACCCCACTTCTGCTCAGAAAGAAACAACATTAATGACACCTCTCTTGGTGGTTATTGGACTGATTATTATTAGCCAGCAGTCAGAGCAGAACGGCATAACCGCTGCCTGGTCAGTTAACTAGAGCAGGGGATAAGCTGCAGAGCTGCTGTGCGTCACTTTTCTGAAAACAGATGAAATAAACATTCTTCTTAATTTGAAACTGTCCTTTAAAAAAAAAGCAAGCAGTAAGACTTTTCTTTATTCAAAGTGAAAGTGAAATTCAAAAACATTTACCTTTAAAGGGCTGACTGACCAATTCCCCATTCATATTCCCCTACTTTATTGGTTCTAGTCTTAGAAGAGACCCAAAAAAGGGTCAAATCCCTTTAAGTGAAAGTCAGAGGACAGTGAAAAGGCTGAGTGATTAACTGACATCCCTTTCCATTTAGAACCAACCCTGAAATTGAAGCCACCCCAAAATAACTCAAGTGTCTCCTTTACCGATGACCTGGCACCGCAGCAGACCTGAGGCGATAAATGAGGTTCTCTAGATAACATTACTTCTAATTGGTATCAATTCCCGCATCCAGATATGCTGCTGAGAGCTTTAAAACAACCGTGGCTGCGCAGGTCGCAGTCCCAGCCCTTGGGCAGCTAAAGCAGAGTTGCTGGTAAGACTCAGGCCAGCCTACACTACACTGCTCAGGATGTCTCAATAACACTTCTGAAGCTGAGGACAGCTTAGTGATAGAGCATCTGCCCAGCAAGCACAGGTGCTGGGTTCCATTCCCAGCAGGTGAGTGCATGCGCACAAACACAGGTAACAACTATTTGATGAGTGTGTAAAAAGCTACTCTTAAGCTTATTATTGGCAGATATTTTCTTCACACTATCAGTATGGGTATCATAAAATCTGAGGTAAAAAAATGATTTTTAAACTAGAAATAGAACATCGCTTAACATGCAGGAAGCCATAGGTTCAATCTGAAATAAGAACAAAAATCTCTTTAGTCATTTAAAGCATGTATGGTGGCACACTCAGCAAGACCATCCTCAGCTACATCTGAGGACCAGTTCTGGACAGCAAGTCTGAGACCAGTTCAGGGCTAGCCTGGGCTACATGAGACCCTGCGTCAAAGGGGGTGTGTTCTAATAACTCTCCAAAGTCTTTTCAATGGTGCACTCCACATATAAGCTGTACACATGGCACCGTGTGAGGAGAGCAGAAAACGCCGTTCAAAATATGGTATTTGAACACAGGCGTTTGGGTACTCTAAGAAATCCAAGGGATAGAAAATAAATTCTCTGCCCTCCTCCCATTTGCCTAAAAGCAGAGCATAAATCTCTGCAGGTGTCCGCCTCCCCTTTATCGGGAAGGACAAAGGTTAATCTTCAAAGACAACCTTAGGCCCTGAAGAGCCTCGGACAGCAAACCTCACCACTGGACTTCACTTCCCATTCCTGTCACCTCCACCGTTTGCTGCCACAGACACCAGGTCCTCTCTCCTTTCCTGCTTTGGTTTGGTTTCGGTTTTTCAGCAGCATTATGGATAGAATCTGGGGCTGCACATACCTGGCGATCACTCTTCCACTAAGCTACACCCCATCTGGTTCTTGTCTTTGTCACTTTTCAAAAAAGTTTTGTTCTTTGATGACAACATCTAAGCCGCAGGGCTGAAGCACCTCTAGAAACGGTTCGCTTTCCCCTGGCATCGCCCAGATACACCTGCGTGTGGAAACAGCCTTGTCTGCTTTTTCTCTTATTTTTTTTTTTTTTTTTACACAGTGTTCAGCCTCCATGCCTGCAGGCCAGAAGAGGGCACCAGATCTCATTACAGATGGTTGTGAGCCACCATGTGGTTGCTGGGAATTGAACTCAGGACCTCTGGAAGAGCAGTCAGTGCTCTTAACCTCTGAGCCATCTCTCCAGCCCCTTATTTATCTTTTCTTATAGGGATCCATCCTACATAAGAATTATGAAATGTAAAGAAAAAGTCAGAGATCCTGAGTTCAATTCCCAGCGACCACAATCTGTCTCACAACCATCTGCAATGAGATCTGGTGCCCTCTTTCTGTAGTGCAGGCATACATGCAGGCAGAACACTGTGTATACAATAAATAAATCTTTTTAAAGAAAAAAAATCAAGGGGTTCTACATTTGTCTTTCTAATACAATGCTCTTAAACAGCCACAGTATTAGGTGTCCCTTTCCAATTGAAGCATCTTAATAATGAGCACGTAGTGTCCCTAGCATAAGTTAAGGCACTTCTGCCCTTTTAAAAATGAATGTGTGGCCGGGCGGTGGTGGCGCACGCCTTTAATCCCAGCACTCGGGAGGCAGAGGCAGGCGGATCTCTGTGAGTTCGAGACCAGCCTGGTCTACAAGAGCTAGTTCCAGGACAGGCTCCAAAACCACAGAGAAACCCTGTCTCGAAAAAAAAACCAAAAAAAAAAAAAAAAAAAAAAAAAAAAAAAAAAAAAAAAATGAATGTGTGGATACTGGTTCTGAATAAGCAGAGTATATTCTAAATGCAAAGGAATGTCCAATTGCAAAATCATTTCATCAGGTTAAGGCTAGTTTATGTCCTATGTAATTCTAGATGGTTATATTGGGCCTGCTGTATATTCAAGCAGTCCAGAAGTATTGCTATCAATGGTACCAACAAGGGAAGATTTTCCTTCAAAGACGTCATCCTAATGTTTTGCTCACAGTTAATCCTTTCAGCAACACTATTAGCAAATTAACTACTATTTTGCCATTTAACAGCTAAGAAGTTAAAGAATAAATTAGGCAATAAGCCCAAGAAGGCCTAACGATCCTCAGATATTCTCCTCCTGGCCAGAAGGCCCAGCACCTACCCCAGCTCGGTGTGATCAGAGGTAACAAGTCAGAAAAGGGGTCTTCTTAAGTTAAAAAGTCTCAGGATGCCATGGTAAATGCTACTTTCTATTCTTACCTGCCTACATTAGCTGGGTTTTTTTTTCTTTTTGCATGCTTTATTTGTGAATGTTTACTTGAGTATATAGAGAACAATTTTAGAGACAATGCATGCCATTGGTTTAGACATGAAGCCATTGGTTTAGACATGAAGCCACTGTAAGAGGCCATTACTTATATGATAAAAGATTTCAGGACTTAAAAACAATGAGCAGACTTCATACAATAGCATTTCAATAGTGATTTGTTTCACTCTATTTCAAAAACATCGCCATCTCTAAACAAAAAAAATAAATAAATAACCCTTGGAGCCAGGCGGTGGCAGTACACACCTTTAATTATAGCACTCTGGAGGCAGAAGCAGGCAGATCTCCGAGTTCCAGGACAGCCAAAGCTACACAGAGAATCCCTGTCTCAAAAAACAAAACAAGACAAAAAAAAATCTCTGGAGCTCAGCAGTTAAGAGAGCGTGCTGCTTCATCATGAGGCCAAATTCAGATGCCAGAAGCCACACCAGCCACAACTGCTCATAGAAGCCTAAACTATCAGCCTCTTCTGGCCTCCAAGTACATCCACACACACATACAAATACACAGACACACACACATAGATAAAATAAGCATCTCATAAACACATATTTTGTTTTAAAAAGCAAGAAGTAATCCTTGTGGCCCACCACTACATCAATACCTCCACATTCTGGGAAAACTTGATCTCCAACTTTCAAGCTAGTTGAATCTCTCCACCTCCAAGCTATTACTGTTGACTGCAATGCTTTTCTGTGAAACTTCTGGGGAAGCCTAATGCCTCTTTTAAGTTTTGCTACATGCATTTCAACCAATACCCTATCAAACAATTGAAGGAAGTTTTAAATACTTTTCTTACCATTAATCTTGCCAATGCAGGTTGCACTCTTTGGTGCTACTGCAAGGAGAAAGACACCCAGAGTCTGGCCTCAGGACACATGAAATACTATTCAAACTACTGAAGACATGTTTCTGAGAAATCTTATATTTAAAAAAAAACACAAGTTCCCCATTGATGTAGGAGGTTCTTCTGTCTATGTGTTGCTTTCATTGGTTGAATAAAGAAACTGCCTTGGCCTTTTGATAGGGCAGCACTTAGGTGGGTGGAGTAGACAGAACAGAATGCTGGGAAGAAGGGCAGAATGGCAGACGCCATGCTTCTCCTGCCTGAGACAGACGCTGGTTAGACTCATGCGGGTAAGCCACAGTGAAGTGGCAATACACATTAATGAAGATGGATTAAACAAATATGTGAGAGTTAGTCAATAAGAAGTTAGAGCTAATGGGCCAGTCAGTGTTTAAATGAATACAGTTTCTGTGTGGTTATTTCAGGAGTTAAGCTAGCCAGGCAGCAGGACGCAGCCCGCTCCTCCTCTCACAACACCCCATGACTCATTGCAATGACCACTTATAAGTAAAGACGGTATGGACTAAAGAGATACATACTGTGTGACTCACTGGGCCACGCTACAGCCTCCACGCCGAGATTTTTTTTTTAATGTGTTTTCTGTTTTATTTTTATTTTTTAATTTTGGTTTATTATAAATTTTGTTTTGGGGGAGGCTACAAGGGCAGAGGGTCGAAGTGACAGGATGGGGAGGTGAGTGGGATTGGGATGAATGATGTGAAATCCACAAAGAATCAATAAAAAGTTAAAGTTCAATGTAGGGGATTCTTGCTGACTTGACGAATATGTATTATGTCAGTCATTGTCTTAAGCATCAAGTTTTTTGTCTTACCAATGTCTATTCCGAGCACAATATATTCTACCAGTATGCCATGCCCTCAGTGGACATGTGGGCAGTAACTCTAACTTTCTAAGTGATCAGAAACTGCAAAAGTAAAGTCCTCCAAACCATGTATCCCTTAATGCAAGGGATGCTTTACCCAGTACACCCAAAGCAACCCCTACTGCAACCCCTGGCTGTGTAAGAACTTACAAGTGGACAGACACATCGGTAAACCAGTAAGGCTACTTCAGTCTACCAAAAACAGCTCATGTATTGTAATGGGGTTTGTTGTGGGCCACTGTTTAGTAATTACAATAACAGTAGTAATAACAATAAGAACTTAAGGGAATATCGACTCTACACTGGTATTAATTAGCTTGCCTTCCATCACAATGAGAAAATGCTGTCTAGGAAAAATGGTCCCAACAACTGCTCAGGCAGGTTGGGGCTACGTTAGTACACTTTCTGGACTGCAGTGACCTTAAATGACTAAAAATCAAGTACATACCTGGTGAATTTGCCACCGAGTCAAAGTGACAGTTAGCCAGTACAGCGTGCTGGGCTCCGCCCCGGGGCTCCAGCTTCACCACAATATTAGTGATGTTGTCATAGTAGCTTGTAAAGCCGCCCAAGAAGTCAATGCTAAAGGAGCCTGTAGGCCTCTGTATGTCCACTGAGATCCTGTGTAGGCTCTGGCTTTGTGCTTCAATCAGTCTGATCTGCTTCAAAAGGTACTGGACTGTCAGAATTTCATTTTCTGCACTTCCTGTAGTCCTGGGGCCAATGGCTGTTATGTGTTCCAGATAATCCCTGGGGGAATCAAAAGAACAATGATGAGGAACTCCTGCAAACTGGAGAGGAACACATCTCGTGTTGTAATAGGAGCGGCGGGGCTGAGCAACATCCCTCTGGGCTTCCCTGGAGAAGGAAGGCTGTTGTTGGTTCCCAACTGCTCAGCCCTGAAATAATCACACAGAAACTGTATTAATTAAATCATTGCTTGGCCCATTAGCTCTAGCTTCTTATTTGCTAACTCTTACATATCAATTTAACCCATCTCCATTAATCTGTGTATCGGCCACGTGGCAGTGGCTTAACGGTCAGCATCTGTCTCTGGCAGGCTACATGGCTTCTCTGACTCTGCCTTTCTTTTTCCCAGCATTCAATTTAGTTTTCCCAGCCTAGCTCTGTTCCCCTATAGCTCTGCTATAGGCCCAAAGCAATTCCTTTATTAACCAATGATAATCACAGCATACAGAGGGGAATCCCACATCACTTCCCTTCTACCTCAGAGTTTAGTTCTTTTGACTTCTCACATAAAGGAAAAAAAATACACTGCCCTTCCCCATTTCTAAGACATGGTATCTGGCTATCCTGGAACTCACTATATAGACCAGGTTGGCCTCGAACTCACAGAGCTCCACCTGCCTCTACCTCTCAAGTGCTAGGGCTCAGGGCGCTTTAAGATAAATAAATAAATACATAAATACATAAATTCAGACATGACCTGGAAAGTTTCATCACTTTATATTGCATCCCAGCAGCTAATGCTTTCAAATCTTCTTCCATTGACCCGCCCCCACATCAAATCAGTACCAAGTCTAGGATTTATATTCAATACGTGAGACTGCTGAAGGCTAGGCAGGAAAACACATCACAGGCTAGTTATGGATTGTTCCTTACTGGGTCTAAGTGGCCGAAACCGATGATAAGGAAAACCAAGGAAACCCCTTAACAAATTAAGTTTTCAACACGCTACATCCAAAGGAGCAGTTTTTAAAATACGACCGCCGTAAAAACTTTCTACTCGCTTAGGTTTCAGCAAGTTACAGTATCAAAGAATTCACCTTCCCTAGTACATCTGAGGTCGTTTAAAAAGGTTGAATCCTATACAGTACGTAATACGGACGAACTACAGACCGTCCGCGAACTTCAGAAATTGTGGGCAAAGTTCTGAACCGGTGGCTTCTGAGGAGTTTCCACAGCTTCCGGATTTGGGAGCTGTGGTGCTTGGGAAGGCAGCATACTGCATTCCCAACACCATCCCCAAAAGGCTTTATAATGAATGCAGTTTTGGCACGAACGCCCCACTCCCGTCTCATTTTAAATTCAAGAGAACTAACTAAAGTAAAAAGTGCAAGTTGCTCCAGAAAGGGACGGATGACAGGGGCGTGCTAACCACTAATCATCTGCAGGCGGGGCAGTGGATGGTTAAAGCAGACCCGATCCACCTGGCCACCCCGAGAAAGCAAAAAAGGGGGAGCCTGCAAGCCCTTGATACCCGCAATTCAGACTCGAGAAGGACGCACAGGACCATCCCACTTCCCACCCACGTGCGCCCAGGGCCCTAGGTCTCAGCGCCGCAGCGCCAGACTCACCCGCCTAGGGCTCACTGACCCGGGGCTCACCGGCGCGGGACACGCCGACTCGGGGGTCCCCCACGCCGGGCTCCCCCGCCTGGGGAAGCAGCGGACGAGCAGCCGGCTCGGTCGGCCGTACCTGGCTTGGCGCGCGTCGAACTCGCCCTGGAGCCCGGCGGGCCGGCTGAGCACCAGCCGCTGCAGCGAGAGCTGCACGAGCGCCCGCAGTGCGAGCAGGTAGAGCGCGAGCGCCAGCACCGTGCGCGCCTCGCTCAGCGCGGTCCCCGCGCCCCGGCTCGCGCCTCCGCTCTCCGTACTCCTCTTCCGCGTCCTCCCGCCGCCGCTCGCGTCCTCCGGAGCCGAGGCCTCTCGTTCCCGGTGCGGCTCGGCAGCCTCTCCCTCCCGACGCTCCGCGGCGCCGCGGTGCCGCCTCACGGCCGCCGACTCGGAACTCCATTCCATGGCCGCAGCCGCAGCCACCAGCCCTAACCGCCCCGGCCCGCGACAGCCCGGGCCGCCGCGGCCACCGCAGCGCCTCCTAGTGAGCGGACGGAAACTGCAGAGGGCCAAACTTATTCTGATTGGCTGGTCCGCTCTTCTGCGCCCGAGCGCTGGAGTCTGAGTGATCTTTGGTGGCCGGGGCGGAGCGTGGTGGCGGTGCTTGCTCCCCACCCTGGGGCAAGCAGATAGCCAAACGGAAAAACACCCGTGAAACTAAAAATGAGCAGCCCCAAGCAAGAGAAAAGTGCAAGGCCGCTTTAAACAGATTGCACGAGGCATTAATCCTGCACTGGGCAAATGAAGACAATGACTCGATTTACCTCTGAAAAAGTAAGATTCTGGCTACAAAAACAAGAAGTAAGACTCCACAACCGGCAGTGGACTAACAGGCCTGTAATCCGGACACTAGACAGGATGTCCACTGAAGGCTCGCTATTTCGCTTACAGAGTGGGATATAAGACGAAGATCCTGCCTTACAAAAGAGAAAGAAGGAAAGAAAAAAGGTTGCACGTCTAAACCCAGCGCTCAGGAGGCACAAAAGGGAGGCATTACTCAAATTAGAAGCCTGCCAGAAGCCTGCCAGGTCTACACAGAGAATTCCAGGCTAGTAAGGACTAGGTGAAAGGGAGGAGGAGGAAGAGGAGACACAGAAGCAGATAACTGGAGCTAGTGTCATCTCGATTTAACAGATAAAAACGATGACTATGGTTTAATGAACAGCTGCTGGGTCGAGCAGTGTGCTAAGTGCAGATTTTGAAAAGAAAATATTTCTGTTCCTATTTAATAGCTGAAGAACATCAAGGCAACGAATGAAAGATGAATGGGCTCCCAAGACAGCCTTAAGTTCCTCTGCTACACAGGGCACTCTGGAAACAAAGGTTCTGAAAAAATGTTCTTGGGCCATATGGATCAGAAGGTAAATGTGCTTGTCCCCACCTTCCCCCAAAGCCTGACCACCAGAATTCCATACTGGGTGCTGTGGTAAAAGGAAATTGGACACCAATTTCCACTAGGTGTCCACTGGCTTAAACACGCACGGACGCGCGCGCACACGTATGTACTTGCAAACATATATATCATACAAACACACATGCAAACACATCATATAAACACAATTATGCTGACTAGTCTTATATCAACTTGACACAGAAACTAGTTATCTGAAAGGAGGGAGCCACAGCTGAGAAAATACCCAGCTTAGGACATTTTCTTAATTAGCGATTGATGGGCAGGGCATAGCCCTTTGTGGGGGTGCTACCCCTGGGCTGGTGGCTCTGGGTTCTAAGAAAACAGGCTGAGCAAGCCATGAAGAACAAGCAAGCCACTAAGCAGCACAGCTCCATGGTCTCTGCATCAGCTCCTGCATCCAGGTTCCCGCCCTGCATGAGTTCCTGTCTCGACTTCCTTGATGAAAAACCACGATATGGAATAATAAAATAAACCTTTTCTTCCCCAAGTTGCTTTGGTCATGCTGCTTCATCATAACAATAGTAACCCTAACTAAGACACACAATAACAAAATAAAAATGTTGAAATACCTTAAAAATAAATAAGTAATAAATGAAGTTAGTCTTCCTTTAATATCATCGTTGAGCGCCGCGCACCGCGCCCCTGTGTCTGCGCCCCCCTGTGTCTGCGTTCTGTGCCCTGGCACCCAGTTCGCCAGCTTCGGGCAAGGGGGCTGGAGGTTAAAATACATAGACACACACAGACAGAGAGACAGCGACACGAGTCATCCTTGAATTCACCAAGAATGCCCCCTTTATTGTGTTCAGGGGCAGATTATATAGAGATAGCCACGCCCCAGCCAAACACACCAGAAACCACTCTCCTGCCATCAGGAACTCCTGAAGGTCTCGTGCTCAGAGCAGCTGTAGGCACTCAGATCAGGGGATTACAAGAAATTCAGGATCTGGGGGCTCACTGCTCCCAACAGTTGAGGGGCAAGAAGCTGGTCATTGGTTTTAGTAGCAAATGCTAGCAACTGGCCAGTCTTGTTTCTGCTTGCTGGTGCAACGAGCCCCTTCGATTCAAGGTTCTGTGGCCCAAGGCACTGACCTAGAGACCCACTGAGAAAACACAACGCAGGACCTTGACTGAACTTCTGTGTCAGATATCATACAACACCCCGCCCACCTCTAAGACCATGAGATGCACTGGCCTCTCAAACACTTCCGGGTCGCCACCTTTCCTTTACAGTATCTCCTCATATACAATTTGGATTACCCAAAATGCTTGCTCCTTCCCTTTGTTACCACGCTAAGGCCCTTCAAATCTCAACTGAAGTGGCACTTGCTCAAACAAGACTCAATCCAGTTAAGCAGACACCACTTCCCATTGTCTGTGCTCTTAGAGCACATTAATGCTGTGGTTATTCCATGTTTCCCTCCCGAGACTGCAGGCTCCACAAAGGCAAGGGGCTCGTCTAGCTTTCCTGAGCTCATTACCCTCCCGAGTACAGCGTGGCATGCGCTGCACGCCTCGAGTGGATGGAAAGGCAGCAGAAGCACAGAACGTTAGTTCTGTAAGAGCCTGTGTAGTCTGTAAGCTCTATGAGACCACAGTGTCTATGCTGTTTAGTCATCACCTCACCCATAGTGCTTAGCATCTGCCCAGTCTCTTCTGGTTATCACTATGTATTCACTGAATGGGAGAATTAAAAAATATATATACATATATACATACATACACACACACACATATATATATATATTTCTATAAGAATCAGATGTTTTTTGCTATTTACTTCCCCCAAAGTCTAGGACCCTCTATCACCTTTAGAAGAAGAGGTCTCTAAGTCAACAGCCGTATCTGCTACAATATATGAAGATATATCAAACTATTTCAATACATCAAGATATGGGTGTTTCTGCTGTCTTGTTATGACTGGGGGCCATAGAGCTTGGTGTGCTGGCTGGTTTTATGTCAACTTGAAACAAGCTAGAGTCCACTTAGAAGAGGGAGCCTCAATTGAGAAAATGACCTCCCTCAAGACCAGTCTCTGGGAAAGCCTGTGGTTCCTTTCCTTGATTGATGATGTAGAAAGGCCCAGCCCACTGTGTTTGGTGCCACCCCTGGGTAGGTGGTCCTGGGGATGTAAAGGAAAGCATCATGCTGAGCAAGCCATAAGGAGCAAGCCAGGAAGCAACACTCCTCCATGACGTCTGCATCAGCTCCTCCCTTTAGGTTCCTGCCCTGAGTTCCTGCTCTGACTTCTCTCAGTGACAGAGTATGCCATGGAACTATAAATTGCAATAAACCTTTTCTTCCCGCAAGTCGCCACTGGTCAATGTGTTCAATCACAGCAGTAGAAACCCTAACTAAGATACTTACGGAGAGAATGTTCCAGGCGGTGGGAAGTGAGCAAGCTTTAGATGCAACACTGAGAAAGGCTGTGGGTGAAGCAGAAGGAAGTAGGACAGGGACAGACATCTGAAGAGGTTAGGGGAGACCACAGTCAGGGGCCAGCACATGGAGGGCCTCCCAACTTTAGTGAGGGCTCGGGAGTGTTCTGAGAGGAGCGGCACAAAACCACACCTAGAGCAGTTGTCCATTCATACCCCGAGGCCCCAGCCTCAGCCTTAAGATGACTCAGCCGAAAATGAACTCTGAACCTAGATTTGGACTCTCCAGACTTGATCCTTTATACAAAGTCTTAAACAGCTTATACTTTCCCTTATACATCATTACAGAGTTTATACAGTATGCACCCTATACACCATTATTGAGCTTATACAGTATAAACCTTATTCAACCTTATACAGCTTTGCTAAACACATTGGGCTATCTTGCAGTCAACGGCTTTGGCTTTAGTAACATCTGCCCTTCCGAGTTCCAGAGGCTACTTTGACCTGGAGATGTATTTTTTTGGAAAGAAGACAGCAGTGACTTACAATGCGAACTCTAGTTCCCCCACACTAAATTGATGAAGAGGATAAGATGGAGGTGAAGGCTTTGCTGCCTCTGTCTGACAGGCTCCTGATCACTGGGGCTAAGTCAGTTCATCTGTCTTGGCAGACCATAAGTTTTCCTTCTGTGTCCTTATGGGACATAGGACCGGGCTGAGCAACAAGCATAGCTATTGTCCAAAGCCCTCCTTTCTTCTTCTCTCTCCTGTTTCCCAGTAACTTAGCCACCCCGAGAAGGGCTGACCTGTTCACTGCAACACACGGCCTCCCACTCGTGTACACTAACACGCTTATGGACCTCCTTCCCATGAGGAGGACCGGCTCATTCGCCATGGTTCCCTTACGTTACATCATATTACAGTCAGGTGAGGTATCAAGCCTGATAAGAGGCACGAAGACAGTCCAAACCAGCTGCAAAAGACAGAAACAGACGTCAAAGCTAGGAAATGGTGTGAGTGAACAAGACACAAAAGCCAAGCTAGGAATCTCAAACGCAAGCAAGAGCCTGGCTGTCCACTGCAGAGGGACGGCTGAAGCTGTTCTGGTGCCCACACTGTTACTGTATCGTGAGTTTGTTTCTCTGCTTGGTCTCACGTGTCCCAGGCTGGCCTCAAACTAGCCAGCAATGACCTTGAACTCTGACCCCCCCTTCTCTACCTCCCAAAGGATTGCGCAGGTATCGTCCTTCCTGTTTCACACAACACTAGGGATTAAACCCCAAGGCTTTGTGCCTGTAGCTAGGCACTCTGCCAACTGAGTCACAGCTCCAGCCCAGCAACTTTATAAATGAGACAGAAGAATGTGGAAATGCCTTTAGATATAAGAAGAAAGGTCAAGTGATAAAAAAAAAATTGATGAATGTAAGTGCAACAATTAAAGCTTAAAATGGGCAGAGTTTCCCATCAAATTAGAAATGTCAGACAACAGAAACGTTGTAACATGGATGGGGGTCTGCTTGTTGTTGGGTTTTTGTCCCCCCCCCCCTTCCCCTAGCTATTTAGTCCCAAAGAAAAATCACACAAAGATCTCTGTAAGTTATAAATCTGATTGGTCCATTAGCTCTAGCCTCTTATTGGCTAACTCTCACATCTTGATTAACTCATTTTTCTGATCTATG